TTAAAAAACAAAACATTTCTCTTACAGCGGGGTTTCTTTAAATGTTCAAGATCTCGCTCCTTCTTGTGCCGGAGCTCTATTTGGTGAGTAAAACATTCAGAGTTTTAATGAAAAGAGCTTTAACTCTAAATATTAATGTTTTTTTTTATAGTATAAATGTTAATAGTTGTGTCCACCTCTACAGGAATCATGAATACATGCGGGGCATTCTCAGGTGAGTTTCTCTTTAGTTAAGAAATCTCTTTATGATAAATATTTAAGCAGTAGAAGCTGGAACTCCATAAATGATAACTGGTTCCCTTTTACTAAATTCAAAGTTTGCGATGATGTGTGGCTGTCAGGTTTGCTGGCTCCCATGATCCATGCATATTTCATCAAGAGAGCATATTAAAGCCAGTGAATCAAACAGTCAGCAGAGAATGACAGCCCGGTGTCTGTAAAGACAAATAGTCCTGTGACATTTTTCTTCATGTACAGAGCCTAGTAAAAGTGTATCTGCTGGACTTTCCCATATTTTGTCATGCTACAACCATTCATTCAGTGTATTCTGTTGAGATTTTGCAATTTTGCACTCACAGTAGTGCATAATTGTAAAGCAGAAAGAGATGGGTGTAGTTTTCAAAATGTACAAATAGTAACATGAAAAGTCTGACTTGAACTTGGATTCAAGCCAGACTTTTTAGCTGACCGAATGGTAACTGTTCTCGTTCTGTGCAGGAGTCCTGATGGTGTACTTCTCGGGGTATCTCATTGAGGCCACAGGCTCGTGGGCATCAGTGTTTGCCCTCATCACCACAGTCAACCTGATGGGCCTCTTCACCTTCCTGGCATTTGCCGAGGCTCGCAGAGTCGACATCGACTCCGGCAGGGTCCGCCACCATAGCATCCACATCTAAGTCGTTGATGGAACGAGTGCGTTATTCCCTATTAAAATGTTACTGTGGTTAATCTATAGGCAGATTATCCACATTGGATTATTATCCAATAGATGATGAGTGGCATCTTGCACAGTTGAGACGGGAGAAATGGTTGTTTATCTCTGCGTTTACTAGAGGTCTTTAAGGCTACTGAAAAGCACACAGCAGAGCATTGTTACTGAGAAACTCTAATTGGGGTTCAGAAGGAGGGGAGCCCTGTCCGTTCAGAAAAAAATGTAGGAGAGTATACTTGCACTACGTCCAGGTTACAGCTGGTGAAGTGGTTAAACATTTGAGAGGAAACTGTTTACATTTGTAATGCATTACAGGCCACATCGGAAGTGGAAAAGCTGCAGAGATTGTTTTGTGAAAGCTGTTGCTAAGTGCTGGGTACTGCAGAGGGAACTCAGTGGTGGAGGTGTTAGCTTGAGGTGCTGTCTGGCTGTGACAGACAAAGCTGGACTTCTTCTTACCTTGTAGGTGACCCAAGGAGAGTCCGAACTATACCTGGAGCATTTTACTCGAAAGCCCCATAAACTTATCACTGAGATAAATATCCTAGTGACATCTCATTAAGCGCCCGCTAATGACTCTGGCGGACACCCTTAATGTTGTGTACAATTTACCTTCAGCGGACCTTGTGTTTGCAGTTACAGGCTCGTCCTATTAGTTTTCAATGGGGGTCAGAAAGCTTTAGGGCTTAGCTTTAGCTGAGTGCTTTCTCTCTGATAGATGTATTAAATACAGTAATGCAATTTGTGAGACCAAAGGTTAATAGTAAATTATTATTTTTTTCTATGTTACAGCGTCTAATAAAATCTCATTAAATTATTTTTGAGCAATTTCATATTTATATGGTTTTGAAATATTTTTTCTTTGAAGAGAAATTAATGTGAAAGAGGGAAAAAAAATATGAAAGGACAAATGGAAAAGATGAGACCTGATATTGTGTGTGAGTGTGTGTGTGCTAATCTTATCTTGTTCTTCCTCTAAAAATAAATGTTTTTATGTCTGGCACACATGTTTATCAGAAAGATATCCAGATTTTAATTTCCCACTTTGTTACTGAAATCTTAAACTGTAAATGATCACAGTGGGAGTGGGGAACCTGGATTATTTCTTCATTGTCTCATTGGACCAGTGTTTGTTTTCTACACTTCACATAATGAAAATTACCGCAGATAAAAGGGTTGAAGGGATTTATTAAGGCTACAGATTTAACAACAACAACAAAAAAAGGCAATTACGGATATATCAACAAATACCAGCTAAGTCTAAGTGTTAAAGCGGTGGCCTTCAGAACACAGTTTTCATGTGAAATGCATTATGCTCATTTACTTTTTATGCATTTATTATTTTGTGCCTCATTTAAGCAACAAAGGATTTGGAGTTTTGGTTGTTAATAAAGTTGTAGGAACTTTGTTGTTATGTTTTTGTGCGAGTTGTTTATGTGAATACAAAGCAATGGCAGGTGTTTTTTGTTTCTTTTTTTGCATCTTCTAGTGCTAATTTAGTTTTGGAAATGTTCACTGCATTTCATTAAATTATGTTTTGCTATTTAGATAAAAAAAAATACACAATTGCAGAAAGTGTTTTCTTTTTTTCTGTGTATTTTCAGAATTAATTTAGTTTCCTATTGACATAAACTGATGAACCACAAGTTTAAAACTGTCCTCTCTGTGTGTCGGCTTAGTTCAGAGTTTCACTAAATAAAAATGTTGATTCTCCATAGATTGCGTCATATATTGCTTGCCAAAAGCCATTGTAATTTTAATACAGTCTTAAACAGTAGTTCAGGCTTTCTGAAGAGATGTATTTATTTTTCTAAGCCTTTTGGCTCTAATCCATGTGTAAGCTGTGAAAATTATTCTTTTCATCCATTGTTTAAGTCAGGCCACATGCAGCTTTTCTTTTGACTCATGATTTGTGAGCAATTCTCACAAAAATCTTTAAGATTTATATTTTCTCAAAGTAAAAAAAAAAAAAAATTCCCATTTCATCATTGGCCCTCTTGCTTTTTCTGTCCTATATTTGTCTACTAATCACTGAGGCATAAAAACATTGATGATACATGTACATACATATTGCAAAAAGTATACTTACTCTCAATGTCTGCTCAACCATGCCTCCTCTCATGATTTCCATTTAAAAAGTTAATTTACTTAAATGACAGTACCGTACAGAATAATTTGATTTGTTTTCCAGCTTTTAGCCAGGTGGAGCAAATATTTCCTCCTGCCTTTTCAGATGTGGATTATGTAAAGCTACCTTTATCTTTTATGTTTTTGTCAATATGTTGACAGTTTTCAAGAAATTAACTTTGGCATATTTTAAGTGACATATTCACATGCTGTCCTAAAAAAAGTCAGACTTAAGATAAGAAATATGTTAAAACAAAATATGCTGTTTAAAAAAAGTTTTTAGTTTTGAATAAAAATGCAGTTTGTTGGCATAAATGGAATTTTCCAGTATTCTTAGTTATATCATTCGTGTTTTGTCTCTGTGTATTTTCTGTGTAGCTCCACAGAGAGGCAGCATAGTACAAGCAATGACAAAGTCCATGTTACCCGTCAACACATTCCTAGAATGAAACCCTTAAGTGATGAATCATAAGTTTTAAGAATACCTTATAGTGTGCAGAAATTATTTAAAAAAAAATATCTCCTGCGTCAAGGAACATGTCATGTAACTACTTCTGTGACAAAACAAACAAACAAACAAAAAACCGTACTATTTTATTGCGCTAAGCACCTGAAAGTTGCTTCAGTCCTGTATTGAATCCGGATCAGCTGCTGAACAGGTTCTGGTGCCGGGCCGTCATGTTCACACTAGCAGCTCACTACACGCCCAAATCCCGAGTGCGGGCCTGCGGGACGTATGCGGTGGCACCATATGGCAGGATGCTGTGTGCCATGTTGGCTAGCTGGCACTACCCACGTGTGAATGGCCAGACGCTAGTCAACCGAACCTACTCCTCCTCATGGGACCCAACGGCTTGGGTAACCATGGCGACGGGTGGCTTGTGCGGCTGCCGCGTGGCAATGAAAAGGAAAGAAGAAGGGAATGGCAGGGTGAGAGGGGGGTTTGGGGGGAGGTCACAAGTGAATGAAAGTAACAAGTCATTTAGAAGTCAGTGGGGTGGTGAAGTAAATTTAGGGTTTGATGTACAGTTTGTAAAAAAAAAAAAAAAAAAGGTGGGGATGGTCAGTCACTCAGACAGAAAATGGCGTTGTAAAATAAGACATAATCATGATGAGTGGCCCACTATTTAATTAGCAGAAATTAAACACGAAGAGGGAGACTAGAAGACCGAGGCAATTAAACCCTCCCCCAACTTGTTGGCTAGTTAGAGTAACCTAGTAAATGCTGGGCTGGCAGAGAGCTAGAGATACATTTAAATGAAATAGCCCCATTAATTAGTAATTAACATCAAGTTAATGACATTTCACTGTGTTGCCATTTCATCCTATGTCCTTCCTCTGAGGTGGAGGGGCTGTCTCTCCAGTCCCTGATCGGAAAGCTAATTAGAGCAAAGCTAAACTGCTGTATAGGACTACCTTATAATATAGAGGCTGGTCATTGTGTGAGCAGCATTAATCGCTTTGTAGTAATAGATAAGCAGGCTTTATAAGTCTGACATAAAGGTTTTACATGTTAATTGCATGGTGAATGCAAGCAAGCTAACGTTTCCCCAGCTGACTTGGAAACACTTTAAACATTTCACCCCCTTTTTAGACGTCACATAATCTGTTTTAGGGTTGGAAAAACTCAAACAATGTGGAAAGTGTACAAAACAGAAATAAAACACAATTGGCCTATTAAGTGGATTGCAGTTTTTTTCTTTGGTGATGGTGGTTGAGGGAGGTATATGAAACGAAGAGAAATTTTTTAGACACAGCTACTAAAACCGGAAGGCAACACAATAATGTCACCATCTTGAAGCTGTTACTTCGTATGACCGCGGACAGAAAAGTCGTTTTGTTCTTGAGAAAAAAACAAAACAATCATACATCCAAACATCTTGCATTTACGAGAAGCAACACCCCAAAGCTGAGGTAAGAGCATGCAACAGAGTTCATAGCCAGACCACCAAGGCAACTACAAGTGTTGTTTACGAGGACAGACATGCTTTTTTAAAATTAGCCGTAGCAGCACAGTTTTGTTTCTGTATTAAGTCCACATAATATGTGCATCTTTAGCTAAAACTGAACTGACATTTAAGGACCAAACAACATCTTTTGAAAAACTAGCTGCAGACAAAAAAAAAAAAAAAAAAAAAACAAAAAAGTGTTTAAGTGACTTAATAGATGGTGCCCCATGAACAGCATTTTGACAGTTTAATTGGTGTAAAGACAGCCTCTCAAGTAAACCACAGACTGATTATGTGGAGAAAAGTGAGACATGACGAGCTCCTGCATGGCTCCTTAATTTAAAGTATTTTGTCACAGTTTGGAGAAATGGCAGGGCTGACGCCTGTGGCTATCAGTCATAATGTAGGGTTTATTGCGTCAAATTAGATTTTGTCAAGTGATCATTTTTCCCTGTGGTGAATTACAGGCAGAATGGACACAGGCAGAATGCTTGAATTTCTGTAAGATGCCAGTTGCTGATCAATATGTAAGTCTTTCCTGTATGATCAAAAATTCCAGATGGAGAGTTAGTCTCTACATTTTCTGGTGTGGACATTGGACTGCAACGTCGGTGTTCCTATCACAACACCATCATTTCTTTCAGCAAGCTCTTGCGTTTTTCTGCTTCATTCATTTTAATATTTTCTGAACTCCAGTGATTGAATACAATTATTGTGAGCTACAAGGAAAAAGTTGTAAAGAAATATATATATATATATATATATATATATATATATATATATATATATATATATATATATATATATATATATATATATATATATATATATATATATATGCCCTTTAAAACACTTTGTTACATGAACATGAGAGAGTTGGCTTGTGTTGAATGTAATTCAGCATTTTTTTTACGGTCTGACTGAAGTGAAATCAAGAGATGGGAATGTTCTTTTGTTTCTGGTCCTCCCACCCCCTGAGCTGGAATCAGCATGCTGACATGGCTAATATTGCATGATTTGTCTGTGGTCATGAGTATTATTGCTGCAAAGAAAAATAAAACATGAAGTTAATATTCAGCACACAGCAGTGTTTTTGTCATGAACAAAACAGTTTGGAATATTATTCGGAGGGTAATTTTCAGCAATGTCTGCTTCAAGCTTCCACTCTTCACTACGGCTTTCAGGTGTTTTCTCTTTAGCCCCTATCACTGCCTCTGTTGACCGTCTTTTCTTTGTTTTCCTCTTTTGTTCTTGTCTTCGTCTCTTCCTGTAAACCAACTTCTGATAGATAATTGACCCCTAAAGCGATCTCCTGATGCCTGAGCACACTCACTATTTTAACTCACCACCACAAACACACTCACAAGCAAATATGTTGATTTTTGTCAATTAAAGCCCCTTCAGCTGTTTGCCTCTTGCCAGACATATGGCCCGTGTTAAATCTAAAGAGCAAGTGGGGCCACCATTGAAAGGGGCATCATTTTAATGGAACCCTAAGGGACAAGACCCACACCTGTGTAATAATAGAGTAAACCATGAGCACTGCATTGGCCAGATGAGGACATTGTTGGTGGGGGCAGGGGGGCATCCCAATTCAGTTAAAGTATTTACTGCATACAACAAACTCTAAAACTGCTTTTTTTTTATATTACGTTAACCATTTGGAAACTTTTTTTTTTTTCTTCTGTTTCCTCAGCCCCAACAGGAGACAGACAGCTCAGGCAGGTTTTCAGCTTTATATCTGCTAAGCCAGAAAAAAAACAAAAAAAAACAAAGACACAAGTTCGATTTGAAACTCTCCCCTGCAGCACCGACATGATATGTTTCCCATTTTTATTAACAAAATAAAAAGAGTTGTGTGGTTTACAGGTGCAGTAACAAATGCTTAGAAACATAGTTTTAGAAAACAACATGGTGTATCAGCTCTTGGCAGTGAATGGCAGAAGCTTAATGCAAGGAGAAGGCATAGAAAACATCACTGGAAAATTTAGCAAACATTTTTAAGTTGAATTTTTATTTTACACTGCTTCCTTTTCTCTTTTAATTTACCCGGCAACTGGAATGATTTCTAATTCCTTTTAATTGTTTGCTTTTTTTTTTTTTTCAATCTGACCCAGAGTGGACAACCCATAGATAGATGATTTAGTGAGATGAAATGAGAATTATCAAGAATTTCACACGAAGCAGAGGCCGGCACTCTGAGGAAGCTGCCAGTTTGGCGAAGAAATTTACAATTGGCTATTGAAAATAGTGCTGGCTGATTTGCTTATTGATGGGTTGCAATAGACTTAAATTACAAGTGTAAATTTCAGATAGATGCAAAATATGAATTAAGAAATGCATATCAATTTTAGTGCATGATGAGAAACAAAAGATCTTTGGATTGACTCAAAAGCCAGTCTAATTTATGTTTCGTCAATTATTGCAATGCATTTATTGTGCTATATATATTCATTCTACATTGTTTAGTTTCTCTTCAGGATCAGATAATAATAATTAAATTGCCCATTAAAATAAATGTTGATTTTGGATTCCTGGTGCTCAATTTAGCACATTTACTATAAGTAGAA